AAACCGATTATGTAATGCCTGAAGCAGAGGTTTTCAGATTGTTGCGTTAAATTTAACATATAGAATAACCTGGAATAAAAATCCTACTTGTGACCTTCTGTAACTATATTTTTCCTATTCAGAGAGGAGAAAATTGAGCATAGGAAGTGCTTCACACCATCTCTCAGCAAGCTGCTCCTGCACTTATTTGCCTTTTACCTGCTGTCTTGCTGACAAAGGAGTTTGTGAGACACATTTAATTCACATGTAATGAAAGCCTGAATAGCTGTGGTTGCAAGGAAATTTTAAAAGTCTGTAAATACCAAGTGTGGTTCCCATCACGCATAAAAGAAAATAAGCTGAACTCTATCTGGAAAATATCTCTCTCGCTGTGCTTGAAAAAGGAACATCATGTCACAGTGATTCACTGCTACATGCTGATTTTGAGTGAATGCATTGAGAGTACATGTGTAAAACCATAATATCTATTTACCATAGCATTGACAAAGTGAGGGGCAGACTGTGCTATACAGTGCCCCAGGAACAACTGAGGGTGTTGCTGTTCACATAGTGACTGCATGCCTTCCATTGCACTTAGTGTGGGGCCCAGCGTGTCCCCCAGCTATTTCATCACTCTGCCATTACTAAGTTCTCCCAGCCAGCAAACTCATTTTTTTCCTACTCCTTGTGATACAATATGAACTTTTCTTGTTTGGTTTATGTTCCAAAAGACAAATGATAGGGAAAACATTTCTGAAACTCTTTCATTTGTCAATGACAAATGCAGAGATTTATATGAAACACTCACAAAATGGAAATACTGACTCTGATCCTCCAGTTCAGACGAAAAGTGCTACCTAGGTGCAACGTGCCATTATTGTTATGAATCAACAGTGCACATCACAGGCATAACAAAGTAATTTTTATTGCTGGTAACATTTGAATTAATCATATTTTCCAGCGAGGACTCTTCAGTTAACAATTAAATTCTATGGGTGAGATTTCAAGAACTGCCTAAGAAAATTTGGTGCCAGCTGGCATGGAAAATGTCTGAGAAATGGGTGCCCAATTCCTAAAATGTCCGTTGAAGAAAGATTCATCTTGCATTAATTGTACGTGGGGAGGAAACAATTCAGTATAGTATCACAAGAGCATGAGAAATAAAATGGCACTTTGAGCAACTTTAAAGGAGTTCTGTGTCACTGAAGGACAAATTACTGCAGAATCTTGCTATTTACTGGCATTATATTTTACTTCACCAGGAGACAGCAAAAATTAAAAAGACGTCTTGCAGTGTCTCACATCCTTCCTCTTAGTTTTCCAGAGCCCTCAGTGACAAACTACATTTAACCACAGCCCTATCTTCAGCATTATTTAACATCTGTAGCTTGTAAATGGAAGAGAATCATAGAATCGTTTGAGTAGAAAGCAACTCTTAAGGCCACCTAGTGTTCAACACCCCTGCATTAAACAGGGACACTTGCAGCTCCATGAGGTGCTCAGAGGCCCCATCCAGCCTGACCTAGAATATCTCCAAGGATGGGTCATCCACCTCCACTCCAGGCAGCCTGTGCCAGTGCCTTACCACTCTGACTGTAAGAAACTTTTCCATGTATCCAATTTAAATCTCCCTAAATCAGACAAATACCACAGGGGCGGGACCAGAACAACAGCAGTTCACACTTGTGCCCTGTGCTTCAGATCACAGTATCTCTGCATTTTGCAGTAAATATCTGGAGGGAAAGCAGCTATAACTGTTGACTGCAGAGGTCAAAATGATAAGAGTTTATATAAGACTTTTCAAGAAAAACAAATATTTTCCACAGAATTATGTAATATTTAACCACCCAACCTCATGTTGCTAAGAACCTCTTCAGTCCTAGAGATCGTTTGTACTCCTCATGCTTCAGAAAGTTCACTTAATGACAGCAGAAAAAACATTGATTTGCATCCAAAATGGGACTGAGTATTGCACAAGAGTCCATAAATTTACCCATGCTTAGTGAGGAATATTTTTTATACATGTATAAGATTTTCTACCACAGATTAGAAAATTACAGAAACATAGAGACCTGTTTTTGTTGGTTCTCTTTGTTTTTGTTTTATAAATAGTCATGAAGACAGTTAGCAACAGAAGACACCACAGGTGACACTTGAGGGTTTCATCCTCCACACAGCACCCTGCATTGCATCAAACAGACGGAGTACTGTTTTGGCAAAGTCCTCCCTAAGTTTTGCACTACTTAGGGCTCCTTTCCTCCCCATTAATGGCTGCCCAATTACATCTGTTTTTCTGTGGAAACACTAGTAAGTGGGGCACAACTTCCTAAGGAGAACTGGAAACTGTTCGAGGCTGTGCACAGCTGGACACCCACCCCAACACAAATCCAAGCTGCAACACATCTGCTAAGTAAGCAACCACATTTTCTCAAGTAGATGAAGCCCAGAGTTGCTCCATTTGGTTTTGAATACTTAGTGAGTTAGATACTTCAGTGAAAGATGATGTCCAAGTAAGCGTGCACTGGAGCAAATAAGGCTTCTGTTCTTTCTTTCAATCCACTGAACTACAAGACATCAATGCCCTGGAGCATGTCTGGAGAAAAGCCATGAAGCTGGGAGGGGTCTGGAGCACAAATCTTACAGAGAGCAGCTGAGGGGGCGGGAATTGTTCAGTCTTCGAGAACTGGAGCCGTGAGAAAACCTTACTGCTTTCTACAACTCCCTGAAAGGACTTTGTGGTGAGGTGGGACTCGGTCTCTGCTCACAGGTAACAGCAATAGGATGAGAGGAATTGGCTGCAAGGCAAAGAATTTCATTGGAACTGCTGTAACTTGGATAGTGCAGACTCTCACAATCATTCCTTACCTGAGCACACAGTTTCACAGCACGATCTACCAAATACTAAAGCTTTGCACTAGATGAGCTGAAAACCTAATGATGACCAACAGGTTTTTCCAAGTCTTGCTTTTTTTGCTGTGCTCCGTTTTGTGAAAACATGTTTTCTGTCATCCTTAAGTTGTTCTTCTGAAGTTCCAGTTTTCCCCTTAGTAGAAGCCTGTGGTGGAAGTGGTCTGGTGCCACAGCTGATGCGCAGCACCTTCTTGAGATTGACAAACTGAAATTACAGAAAAAAGAGAAAGAGAAAATCAGTTCCTATACAGCATCACTCCTAGCATTTTATTTAATATAGAAACATCTTTCTACTGCTGAAATTCAAGGAACAGATAAATATAAATGGTTTTGCAACAGGGCTCCACTTTTTCTAAAGGACAACCCTTCAGTGATGTTAAAGACAAGTGCAAGTCAAGAAGTTATCTGCCTTTCCAAGTTCAGTCTTCGGTTTTGACCTACGTTATGAGAAGGTGGTTGAGGTGCAGTATGATGACGAAAGGGTGGCAGCAGTGCAAAACTGGAGAGCTGGCTTTGCTATAATAAAAGCATGATTTCCATTTTTCATCTGTGCTGCAGTGATGTAATGACACTGGGGTGGAAAATGCTAAGCTTGACCTTGCTCAGAGCATATGAAATCCCAGTGCTCATAGGCTGCTGCAGCTTGTGAAAAGGGGAATGATCAGCTTACAAGGAGACTGTAACCATGCCGGAAATCCCAAATGACCTTGTCTAGATAAGAACAAGCTTTCAGCAGGAAAATAAAATCTTGAGCATTTGTGAATTATCTTGCACATAGACAGTTTGGTACCCCAGAGGGACCTCCATACTTGCAGTATAATAGAGGTCTCAGGAAAGATCTCTGGTGTAAGAAAATTGGTCTGCAAAATAGCAGTGGAAAAAATAAAGCTAAGATTTTTTTCATCAGGAATATTGGGAGTCTCAAGAAACCTCAAACCACTGCCTGTGCTTTATTTCAGCAGTATCTAATACACATTGACTGCAGGGAAAAATTTATAAGTGCTTTCCAAAAGTTTAACTGCCTATATAGATTTACACAGAATATACTTACTGTAGTAAGTAGAGATTGGCTGTTACTGAAGTTTGAAAGACCAGATCAAAGATATGAGATCCAACATTTGCAACAGTATGACTGGGACATTACAAAAAAAAAAAAAAGTTTGTTTTGCTAACAGTTCTTATTTCTAGTGCCAAAAATATGATTGTAAAAGGATTAGATTAGTAACCAGGAGTCCAAACAAGCTTATTCAGCTTATTTTACTGCTTGTGTGGATGACAATTTCTTTTGTCTTCATCCAGTAGTGGGAAGCGCTTTATCATCTTCTGGTTTGGAAAAAGACCCAGGCATCTAATGTAAAAAAAATATATTCTCCAGTAGCTGCAGCATGATTAATTTTCCACCCCACGAGATCACTGTGAGCTTGAAAGCACCCTAGAGCTTTATTTGCTACTTTATAGTCATCAAGGATCATAAAGCATCTTCTTCCTTCCGCACCGCTAGCACTTCAGAGAGCCAATATGGTTGAATGGAATGAGCAAAGGGTTGAAAACCAGGAAATTTTGATCATAAACTTAAAGCAGCTTGTGAGGTGCCTTTGGCCTTTGTTAAATAATGCTGGACTCAGTTATCCGAAGCAATACAGTCCCATGCTCCAGCTAAAGAAATTACGAACTCCAGCCCATATAAGACCCAGATCCTGATACCTACAGTATGTAGTACATACATCATACAGTACAAGATGGGGATAATACTACCAATGTTTTTTCATTGGGCACTTTGGGGTATATTGGTGAAGAGCAATAGGTAAGAGCAAACCATTCTAATTAAGGCCTGTAAATCATTTTCAGAAGATAAATTACTCATTATAGCTGTTTCACATCATTCTCCACAGATAAGCACATTCAGGAAATCCTGTGCATTACAATTCCCTGTTGCTATACCAAAAGTTAGCCTGGGGCCTTTTCCCTTTTCCACATCATTAGGACAGTCTAGTTCCAGCAGTTGCAAATGAAAACATGGGGCTTGATGGTATGATGGTACTTAGAGTTATCCAAGCTGCCCAAAACAATAGCAGCTCTGATCATTTTAAAATTTATAAGCTTACCCAAAAGCAGGTCAGCCCTTCCATCCATCTGCAGTTCCTCATCTCCTATGGGGCAATGGCAAATACAAACATGTCAAGAGGAATAAAGGAATGCCCTGTCCCCTGGAACAGAGAGGGACAGACTAAGGCAGGGTTTGCAGGACCATGCACATTACCTTTATTACTGTCATCATGGAAATAAGCCAGAGAAAATAGTAGTTCAGTGTCTGTGGTGATAAATTTAACATGCAGTACCACTTCCTTCATGTATCCAGAATGCATTACCATGATGGTACTACTCTTAAGCAGCCTCCATGGACAATCCTCAGAATTACAGCTCCTATCATTTTCCACTCTAGAAAGTGCAATGAAGAACTTCAGGGACTACACATAGAGCTCCTGTTTGACAGATCCTGCAAATTTCATATGGTTTTAAAAGGCTGCAAGGGTTGGTGCAGGATAACAGATTTTCTGCCTTCAACCATTGCAGACAGCCACTCAGAAGCCAGCAGAACTACTCACAGAACAAAAATTAGGCAAGAATTTTCATTATCATTTCTGATATTGCCCTATGTCAGTTTTGCCCCATGTCGTGACAGAAAGAAGTATGCAAAAATATTCAAGAAATGACGTTCAACATTACTTTTAAGAAAGTGTATTGCTCCTTAGCATCTTTTAGTTCTGTATCCATAAACTAATTATACTTCAGACATTCTGTCAGGTGACAAATAAAAAATAGTACAGATGATTATCATCTTATTTTTCAGGGTAGTTTTGCTTAAAAAAAAATGAAGTATGTCATCTGAAGCCAAGTTTCATCTGCATCTTTTTAAAATGCCATTACACAGAATTTTTCTCCATTTATTTTTACTAGATAATTTTTCCCATCTTATCCTTCGTGCTCCTTGCTTCTCTCCACAAGTCTTCAATATGCCAGCAAAGATCTGTTTGGCTGCGTGACTTTCAGAAAAAATGCAAAATAAAAAACAGCAGAGTATGGACTACAGAACACAATTATAGCAAGGAAAATTTCTGCCAAAGTATTTTCACATTAAAAAATACTTAATTAGGTTAAAGATAACATTAGTCTTCATTACACTTATTGGGTGCATCTTCCTAACAGCCTGTAGCTGCATAGTTCCCTGCTATACGAAACCATTCTTTCAATTTACTTTTTGCTCAATTTGTTCATTTTCTGCAGAGATGAGTAGAACACACAGTAACATTTTCTTCATGTCTCCTGTGGTTCTCTTAGGATGTCAATGCAAGTCACAACCCATGAGTGTTTATGTTCAGTGTCACCCAGACACTGCCAGCTGAAGACAGCATTGCAGCACTTAACTAGATTAATTTTCTTGCAATGGGCTTTGCTACTCGTCTCTTTTCCAGCTGGACTGGATAATCAGGTTGTCTCACCCCAGCCAACAGAGAGTTTAATCCTCAAGCCCTCGATCTTTTATAAATCCATCTACAGAGAACCACTGCTAGAAATTCTTTGTCGTTTATGTCATATCTTGTAAAATCTGTTGAGCCTACTTGAGCATGTGTCTGTTTTGACTTTTCCTGAAGAACAATCTCTCTCTGGAGGGAAAGTCTGAACCACAGCATTTATCTTTCCACGCACTCAGATAAGCAGTTGGGAAAGACTCTTTCTGATGGGGATATTTTCCAGTGAGTCATACCTGCTCTCTTTGGATTGACAAATTTTGATGGCATAGTATTAATATTATCTTGCAATACCCACCATCAAGTGGATTCCAACAGAGTTGAACAAAAAGACAGGCTATCATTTCGAAGTCCACTCCCAGGTAATGCTCCTATTAAAGAAAGACAGGACTTTTCATGAGTAAGAAACAGGGACTAAAAAGAGTGGGCAGAATATCAGACGTGTGTGAGAGCATAGGAACAAGTAGTGAGACCATACAGCTTCCCCATGAAAAATACCCTCAGTACCCAATTGTTGTATATGTACAACAAGAAATAGCACAAATGCATACTTTTTGATAGTCCTGAGCAATCAAAAATCAATAATTCATTCCACTTCATAATCAGTCTATTTTTTTCACAACAAGTAAAAGAGTTGGCAAAAAAAGAAAAAAGCAAAACATCCTTTTCCTTATTTTTGTCACTGCAGCACAATCCAGATAAATAGAACAGCTGAGCTAAAAGCTATAAAAGCAGCATTTCCTTCAGAATGAAAATTGAAGAGGAAAAAACAAGAAATTATCTTAATTGCCAGTCTCCATTCATGCTGGATCTTTACCCCCTCCATACTAATGTCTTCCTGTTTAAAATAATTCCTTTTTTTTCTCACCAAACTTTTCCCTTCTGAGAACTTTTAGCATCTAGTTGTCTTATGCACCTCTTTTTCAGATTCAGTTCTGGAATTTCAATTGAAAAATACAATGTTGGGTTATTAAAAAAAATAATCTCTATTAAATATTACAGCCCTTTTTTCTTAGTAGGAGAAACAGAGCTTCATCAAAGAGAATCAATAAATGAATTATTCAAACCCATTTTGAAGGCTGCATTAATTCTGACTTCAGAGAGGCATGGAGCAAACCCCAGATCAGTCATGTAGATAAGCAGGCAGTTGTTATGTTCTTTCTTTGAAGTTGATCAGAGGGTTACAATGGTTCAAAAAAAAGCTCTGGACTTCAGAGATTCCCATGTGGAAGTGTGACATGGAAATCCTTTATTTGCACAGCTAGCAGCCAATATATGTCTATCTCACGTAAAACCATGATCTCCTTTACATCTACACATGGACTATTCCCAGTCTTTTAATGTGTTTACCCTTACAGTATTCTCCATTTCTCCATAGATTTTCCACATTTTGCAAACTGAGGCAGAGAGATTAAACGTTGGAGACAAGGATCAAAAATAAAATGATGTTCTTCTTTTTCTTTTTTTTTCTTTTCTTTTTTTTTTTTTTAATAGCAAAGGTGTTTAATCACAGGCACACCATGAAGATGCCTGCAAGATTTTCCAGGACTAAGAACTTATAAATCAGCATTGGATGGCTTTCAAAAAGAGATGCTGAAGTTCAAGTGAAAATTAATCCAGGGAAGACCTGTGACCTGAGCTACACAGAATCAGACAGTCTTTTCAGCTTTACAATCTATTAATTACATCTTTCCGCTCCCTTCTTTGTGACTACTCTTTCAATCCCACTTCAAATTGATTCATAGAGTCAGCATCAGAAGTGACTAATATTCAAGTTCCCATAAATTTTTCTTCTCAGACAACCAGGCAGGAGGCAGGTCTGTTAAAAATACCACATAACCTCTGCAAAGCTCATTTAGCTGTACCCTATTTCTCGTGCACAGGACACACGTTCTACAGATGTCTGCACAACCTCCAGAGGAAAAGCTCAAATCCTGGAGAGACAAAATAAGTCCTCATGAGCAATGCAGCATCACCCACGGAGCATATTCACAGTGACAGTGAGAGACAAATGTGGCTGAAGCCCATTTTCATGCTCAAAATCTTCCATTTATGAATCTCAGAAGTACACACCATTTTAACTCACTTGAGCACACTTGTTCATTTAGTCATAGAGCTTACATAGACAAATCCACCAGTAGATATATAAAGCTTAACTCTTCCCACAAATAGCACAATTATTTTCAAGATGTGCTGTAAGCAACCTGACCGTAATATACATAGGAAACACTTCAGCCAGTGTACTTGAATGTGACAATCCATTATTTAGTTAAAATTCTCACAAGCAATCAGTAATCACAAATCTATTCACTCCAGGATTTTGCAAGAGACTGGGACATGGTTGTCCTTAGCAAAAAGGTTTTATTTCCAAACAAATTTGAAATGGCTCAAGACCATCAATCTTGCTTATTTTTCCAATGTGCAGTATTTTTATTTGCCAGTACCATCATGGAAAAAACAAATTTGAGAAAAGTTTTCCATTTGTGTATACTCAGGTATGCCATTTTTCCCAGACTGACTCTATACCTCATTACAGAAGTAACAGAATGACAGCACAGAAATACCTATACCTTCTCTAAACTTTCTCAGACTCTATTTGAAGTCAGCATAAACATTTTTTTTCCTGCACCATGACTATAATCGTGGCATCATAGAATGGTTGGAAAAGACCTCCAAGATCATCTGGTCCAACCATCCACCAATAACATCACCCTTATTGCCCACTGAACCATGCCCCTACATACTACATCTCCACGTTTCTTGAACACCTCCAGGGACAGTGACACCACCACCTCCCAGGGCAGCCTGTGCCAATGCATTACCAGTCTTTTTGAGAAGTTGTTCCTAATATCCAACCCGAACACCCCTCAGCTCAACTTGAGACCATTCCCTCTCATCCTATTATGCTTACCTGGGAAAAGAGGCCAACCCCCACCTCACCACAACCTCCTTTCAGGCAGTTGTAGATAGATAGTTCTAAGTTCTCCCCTGAGCCTCCTCTTTTCCAGACTAAAAGTCCCAGTTCCTTCAGCCGCTTCCTATAAGATTTGCTCTCCAGACCGTTCACAGCTTCATTACTCTTCTCTGGATGCGCAAACATGAGAACACATTAGTCATCATTCAGCATACACCAAGATAAGGCTAAAAAGATAATTTTACATGTATTACTCTTTCATCGGAACAGGTAAGTGATTTAAATGAATTGAGGTTTTGACAAGTAAGTAATTAAAGAGACAAGAGGGATTGTGAGTATTATCCTTATTTACAGGGAAAATTTTTTACAAGTGATGAATTAATAATGCACTTTCTCTTATGACCTTGAAAATTCACCTCATTACCATAAGGGAGACTTTACTAGCAGCTCAGACATACAACAAGTCATTAGGACAGAAAGTAAATTAGAATCTTTTCCCTGCACAAAAAATATTAGACATGATTTTACATAATATTCTTGCAGTGCTTAGTATCAGAGGTCAAGTCCCTTTAGAAGAGCAAGATTAATCTCATTTAGTTGTGTACATCTACAGATGTTAAAGCACTGCAAAAATGCCTTGGCTATCTGAAGGATAGAAAAGAATGGTTCTTTGGAAGGGACTCACAAGAGTCCATAGAGCTCAACTGCTCGACCTCTTCAGGGATAGCCAAAAGTTAAAGCACAGAATTGAGGGCATTGACCAAAATGCCTCTTGACCGCTGACAGACGCGGGGCATCAGACACCTCTTAAAGAAGCCTGTTCCAGTGTCTGAACTCCTTAGTTGTACAGAAGTTTTTTCTTGCACCAAACCTGACTCCAGCACAGTTCTGTTGAACTTCATGCCGTTGCTGGTTGCCCAGTGTTTCATCATAGCTAGGTCCCTCTGCAAGTCCACTTCTCCCTTCATAGTAAGAAACATCTCCCAGTTTTGTATCATCGCTAAGCTTGCCCCGGAATTGACCCCTGGTGACCATCATCCACCCACATAGGTCCATGCACTACAACACTTTGAGCTCTACTGTTGAAACAATTCATCTGTGCAGTGTAGCATGAACCAGTTTGTCTCGCAGTTGAACAACCTGTCCAGAAGGATACTGTGAGGGATGGTATCAAATGCCTTGCTGAAATCCAGACATTTTGCATCCATCACCTTCCCTTCATCCAGCAAACGGGTGAATTTATCACAGAAAGAGATAAAATCATTAAGGCAAGACTTTCCCTTGATGAACACATACTGACTATGCTTGACAATTTCTTTTATCGTTAAATACCTTTCTATATCTCACAGGCCAAATTTCTCCAAAGATTACCTTAACAGATTTGTAGCTTCCTGAGTATTCTCTCGTGCTTTTTTGGTAGATTGGTATAACATATGCAGTTAGAATGTAATTGTAGGTGGTCTAGAAGAAAACGAAGCCATTTTTCATGCAGATACCTATTTCCACACATCAGCATATGACAAATACTGGCTTAACCACTGAGCTTGGAAGAATGGCCAATCCTACAGAAGGCCTGCAAAGAGCTCCCAGATGCAATTGCTATCTTCATAGACACTTGCATTGCACACTGGGTACAGTCAATAAAATCAGTCGTTTTTAAAGTGTGGATTAAATGAAGATTGTAAAAGAAGTATATCCATTCCTCTGATGTGAATAATTGATGTCTATTGGTTACTATGAAATTGATTACTTTGAGGATGAGGAATATTTTTTAAAATTGCCATGTATGCAGCTTTGAAATGTTTCCTGAGTGTCTGTTTAGTCACTAAAACTGATACTCTTATCAGGCCATTTCAGTGGTCTTTTTACTGAAAATTGTCTTTCTGCAACATTTCCTGGACTCGCATCTACTTCTATATAACAATCTACCATGACAAACTCATTTCCCAGTTTATAAAACTACCATTCTTCGAAGCTGATGGCAGCTGTTTTGTAGCTGCCATACCATATAATATGGCTAAGATCACTGTCTGTAGCAAGCTAAATTATAGGATTTGGTCTAGTGCCAAATTCTAAAAGCAGAGATGGCACTTATTGTGAACTGCGGTGTCCACAGTTTAATGTACTTCTTATTAAAATCAATGGGAAGTTTGTTTCAGTGAGGATTGGATTGGGTCCTAATTACATGTCGACAAATGCTTCTCACATGCCAATTCTGGGATTAGAACTGCTGTTGATTAGATGTCTTTATAAAGTACTATTCAGTCCTGTGGCCAGTAAAACAATTAAATTCTATTGTCAAATTTAAATTTAATTAAAACTAATTTTACTGCAGAACGTCAAATAATTCACCCTGATACTTAATTAGAGAGCAGTCCTCCTTCCAGTTCTACCAGCACAATTTGTTACATGCCATGAGAGTACAAAATCATATGCAGTTTTTCATGTTGACAACTG